AAATCCCAGTCTTGATCCATGTCACCCAACAGACACTTTCGGAGATACCCGTAGTCTACCTTTATAGTCACCCAGTTACGTTGTGACGTTTGGCATACCCAAAGCACTCCTACGGTATCCGGGAGTTACACGATCTCATGGTCTAAGGAAAAGATACTTTGACATTGGAAAACTCTAGCAAACGAACTATACGATCTTGTGCTATGTTTAGGATTGGGTCTTGTCCATCACATCATTCTCCCAATGATGTGATCTCGTTATCAATGACATCCAGTGTCCATAGTCAGGAAACCATGACTATCTGTTGATCAACGAGCTAGTCAACTAGAGGCTCACTAGGGACATGTTGGTGTCTGTTATTCACACATGTATTACGATTTCCGGATAACACAATTATAGCATGAATAAAGACAATTATCATGAACAAGGAAATATAATAATAATAATGCTTTTATTATTGCCTCTAGGGCATATTTCCATCAACATTATGGGACGAAGTAGGATGTTTTTTGCAAGACAATGCTATGTGCGGACTACAGTGTTTACATGCAGTTAATCGTTTGCTTATACTACTAACTTTATTCCAAAATGAGAAAAGTATACCTTTTGTCCCTCAATTTTTGGTGAAGTCTAGATTTGGTCCCTCAACTTCAAAACCGGACAACTTGCACCTCTAACTACCGAAACCGGATAAGGTTCATCCCCGGACTCGGTTTTGACCGGTTTTGGTGTTGACTCACCCCGGTTTTGACCCGTGCTCACTCATATTCCTGTAATTTTTTTATATCCGTGAACTTTTTGAAATCCACATACACTTTTCAACTCCGCATAGTTTTTTCAAGGTCACATATTTTTTTCAAAAATAAACATACATTTTTCAAATCAGCAAACTATTCTAAAATTCACATACTTTTTTCAAATCCGTGATTTTTTAACATTTACGGACCTTTTCCAAATCCCCATATTTTTCCCAAGTTTGTGTAATTTTATCAAATCCAAGTATTTTTCAAAGCCATGAACTTTTTTTGAAATTCGCATACTTATTGCAAATCCACATGCTTTTCAAAGTCCGCATTTTTTTTCAAATCCGTGTTCCATTTATAATCCATGAACTTTGTTTGAAATTCACATACTTGTTTCAAGATGAAACAATTTCTGAAATCCACATATTTTTGCGTAAAAGAAGTCCATATCCGCGTACTTTTTTCAAGTTCGCATAAAATTTTCAAATTCATGAACTCTTTCAATAAAATGTACTCAAATTTGAAAGTGTACATCAATTTTGAAAAATTAAATGAACTTAAAAAACTAAATGAACTTTAAAAAAATACGCATATTTGAAAAAGTACATGAACTTGTAAAAAATACGCAGATTTAAAAAAAGTACAAAAATTTTAAAAAGGTTCACGTATTTGAAAAAATAACCGAATTTGAAAACATCACGTGGACTTGGAAAAGGTATCCAAATATGAGTCGGAACGGTCAAAACCGGGGTGGGACAGCACCAAAACCGGTCAAAACCGTTACCAGGAATGAATCTTGTCCGGTTTTAGAAGTTAAGGGTGCAAGTTGTCCGGTTTTGGAGTTGAGGGACCAAATCTAGACTCCGCCAAGAATTAAGGGACGAAAAATATACTTTTCTCTTTCAAAATACATGACGGACTATGAAGCATGCACCAAACTTCTCTATATTTCACAAGTAATTTAAAAAATATATATGTATTTAAATTCTTTTATATTTGGATATAAAATACCAGTATATTTGTTATGAGAAATAGTTTCGTACTGTATATTTTTTCAATTTAATGTTCATACAAAAATAATGGTCTTTTTAATCAACTCATTTTTTAGCATCAGTACAGACACAAGCGCTCATATATATGCGCATATACTCACCCCTTTGGACGCACACACGCACACCCTACCCCTATGAGCACCTCCGAAAGACTGAGTCGGCATATTATCTTGAGGGATACCATTGTCCACCTAAACATCTCAACCATAGGTTGGTTCGCAATCAACTCATTGTTTGATTCACGGTATATGATTTCCTTTCTTAGGATTCATTTGCACTTTATTTTAGAGGAATAACTCAAACCTTTTGGTAGAATTTATTTGTTTCCTATGCTATCAAACACTCTTTAATCCAGATTTTTGTAATTTTCTAATTTCATAGTAGGAATCAAGAGGATATGACACCCTAATCTTGTGTTTTTTCTATTCCTGAGTTTTGAGAATCCTACTAATCAAATAGGCCCTATGGGGTACTATTAACTATATATACTCATGTTCAACTAGGTAGCATTAGCAGCTAATGTTGTTTTCTAAGTTATAAATTAGACGACTTTGGAGTTGTTGAGATGTGGCCAGCATGTAGCAGGGAAGAGGCGCCAGCTTCAGCGGATGGCTTGCCATCCTCTACCCAGATCTGATGCTCCGGAGACTGCTAGCCCAAGTGCGGTTAGGTCGCGGCGGTAGAGTTCCGCGGTGTCAATCTTGTGGTAGTGACGACTGCACTTCGAGTGGGCAATGTTGATTCGCCTTTTGTGCTCCGCCTCCGGCGATGTCAGCCTCTAGGTCGGCGGTTCTGGGTAGGGCTCTCTTCATTGGGGTAATAGTCGCTCTACCTTCGGCGTTGGTCCTGGGCGACCACTCTGACATCTGGTGACAGACTCATTGCGGATTGCAATGGCCACCAGAAGGTATTCGTGAGGGTTTATCTCTTCAGATTCAGTGGGTGGCCCCTATGGATGGCGGCTTGACGCAGAGGGATGGTTGTGGTGATGACGGCCCACGTTGCATGTACCTGCCGGGATCACGGAAAAGTGATGGCAACAACACATAAGTGAGGTCGATGGTGGTGCTACGCAAGCATCCGGTCTCGAGTTCCTAGGTGAAAGCCCAGGTCTCCCATGTTGGATATACCTGTGAAGCTGGTAGCAAGTTACGCCTAGGACTGAGCTAGCTTGAACCATAAATTCTTGGAATTTCCAGTACTTTGTAGGAAGGAATTACAAGGGATCTTGATACTAGGCCTAGGGCTATATCCCTAGTCATCTACGCCAATGCCTGACAATGACGATGTTTTTATGTGGCTATCTTGTTAAAGCATTGTTTGGATTGGTTCTTCATGGTGAAAACATAAATTCTGACCTCGAATGGTTGGATTGATGACGGCAACGCTTGGGCTTCACTGCCTTTCCGAAGACGTTGTTGTTGAAGAATCTCGCCGTCTGTGTGGTGCCGATCGCGGATCAAGTTGTTTTCAGTTTTTTTTTCTCACCTATGCATAGATTTGTGTGCATGTGTTCATGTTAGTTGTGTTGCAGAGGTCCGGTGTGTGCTTGTTGTGTTTGGTATCTTATTGATTCTTCATTTTGAGCAAATAAAACCACCCTTCATCCAAAAAATGGATGTGTGCCTCATGCCATACCTCAAGTGTTGTACTCCGTCTAACTGCCATCACTTAAAAGCTGGACGCCGAAAGCCCGAAATGCTGATATTTTCTCTCTTTTTTTTAGCAAAATCTTGAAATGCTTTAGAAACGTCAACGAGGAAAGAATTGCAGAAAAACTGGAAAGTGCTACACGAGCGGCACTAGCTGTCCCCTGGATATGATCCTGTACAGATCAGGAATCGGTTCTGTGGTCATCGGCAGCGACATGTCGTGAGCAATCTACGGCATAAAACAAGAGGTGCAAGTTAGTACTGTACGTACTTCTCGGTAGCTCCCAGCTTTCGAAGGAAAAAGAAAACAAAAATGTTTTGATCATCGTAATCACAAGGAACCATCCAGCCACTTTATACAAGTCCAATTACACGGGCGAAAAGCAGCAACCGCCAGAGAACAACACTTGCCATTTCACAGAAGGCATGTGAGAGGTGTAACTGTGTGAGTTGAAATAGCTCAAGTCCATGTATTGAAGAACTCTTGCCCTTGGATTGTAGCCCTAACCTTTTGGAATAAACTAGTACTGTTGATCTCGCAAAAAAAAACTGTAGGAATAGGTCAAGATGACGTTGATGCCTCAGAGGATACGAACTGGATTCACATCCAGTTTAGAAGCTACTACTGCAGAGGCTTGAGAGAATAATAAGTCTTGGTCTTAGAAGGTGTTTGGATGAGAGGTGTTTCTGGTTAACTAATGCGGAGTGCATATGAAAACTACCTGCCGGATGCCTCTTATCTGAACACCTCTCAGATGTAAGAGTGAACAAGCAACGGCGAGAATGCTTTCAATACCTGATGTGGCTAGCAGTATTTCGTACAATATACTTTTCTCCCACGAATTGCTATGTACTCCAAGAATAGAGGAACATCAAGAAACACAAGAGTAGAAGTATCTGTTGCAGCTAGGAGTACAAGATTAGAACATCAGCATAGGATATTGTACAAAATTGTGTAAAGTGAGCTATTCTGTGATGTAAGTATAACCGCAAAATATAAGCATACAACAGAATAAGTGGCATGATGTGAAAGTGCACAACAAAGCCAACCAATTCGTATGACAATAAACTAACTCGCCCACCAACGGGGGGGAATCGAACGGTTATGTACCGAAAAGAATACTGAAAGAATGCTCTGCTAAAATCAGTTCTCCTTTAGAAAAATCACAGGTGCAACTTAGTTCTCCACATGCACCCGACAACCTTTTTAGGAGATGGGTTGCTTGGGCCCTTGTCCCGTTGCCCGGAAGTGAAATACAGCCAGCCATCCCAGTATCCTACCAACGTGGTCTTGATCCGGAAAGGTAACCGCCCGATCACACTCCATTCCTGTATGCAGATGGAATTTCAGTCGCATCACGATAACAACCCACGCAATTCAAGATTTACGGATCCTCTTTTTTTAAGATTCTCTTTCACAGTTCTGTTAGCATCATATTATTCTAGAACAGAAATTTGGATGTGTAGAATAACAGTATTTCAGTTCTCTGTGTATTAAGAGCAGAACTTAAAAAAACAAGAAACAGAGAAAACACCACATTGCAAACAACAGGATGTTGATAGCTAATACCTAGCACAACATTTTCCCAACTTCCCCTGCTTTCATGAACTGCTTTTTTAACAAAACAAAAAAGGTATATGGAACGATATGTACCAGTGTCTCCAAATTGAACCGAAATACTTCACCAACCAAGGTCATTCTTTTATTAATTGGGTGCTTTTCTGTAGTTCCCCCAGCAATAATTATAGAATTGTTGACATTCGTCCAGGCAAACTCTATATGTGAATCTGGCTTCGGCATGGGTGGAAGTTCCTTCCACTTCATTTCATCATCAAGCATGTATACATCACTGTACACCATCTGCATAGGCACAGATCAAGAGAAGGAATGTAGAACTTTAAGTAAGAAAACTATTGTGATTAGAAGATGAAACATTTCACACAAGTATCTATATTTTTCTTAAATATCGAGTATCTATGTTGATAAACACGCGAGCTAAAAAATCATCATTATTCTGTAATACATCCTATTATGGTACCATACGATATGATAGATTTTTCACTAAGTGCCGATCTACAATTGACTGTAGGGCATTAACTATTTACAATCACTCGTAGAAAAACAGACCTGTCCTCTGTATCGAAACTGCAGTCCACACTAGTTGCCACTAGGTGAAGCATGCTAGGTATTCAACGTCTATTTAATAGATGCAGTCATGCAAAAAACATGGCTGAGATACGCAACTAATGCAATAAACTGATCTGAGTTGACATCTAAAATGAACAACTTTCTCCATCATGTGTAGCAATTCAGCATGTATACTGATTAATCAAAGTATCAACATACCTCACTTCTTCTAACACATTTAAATATAGGTGATCCAGGTTTGGCCATAAAATCTCCTTCTTGACCACCAATAACAAGGAGCTTATCATTAGCAACAACACATGCCCTGATGCAAAATAGTAGGTCATGAACTAAGAAACATGTTATGTGTTACATAAACCACCCTCAATTTTGTATACTGTGCAACCAAATTTCTTGCCCAGAACTTATTCTTCAAAATAGTTGATTAACAGAAAATGTATTGCCAGGAGCACAAGAAGAGTTTAAAGACACCAGAAAGTGAAACGTCGAGAAGTCAAGACGATATAGGAATCTAACAACTTCCATTTTCAAAGAACAACAACAGATGTCACATGAAGAGGAAGTAACAGACCTATGTGGACCACCACGAGGGATTGGTATCTCGCTCCTCCATTCCTGCTCCAATGCTTTCCCATCCTTAACTGCGAGGCTCCAATGTTCAACTCCAGGTTCATGTCTGTCCTCCTTACTACCACCCATCACATGAAGCCTCCCTCTCCAAAGTTGTGTGGCTGGAGCATACCTGAACAAGATATTTACAGGGAAAAAAGTGAAAGAACTCGTCAAATCTTCAGACTCCAAAATACTAGTATTTAGATCAATGGAAGAATAGGACCATGCAAGTACAAATACAAACAAATGCATAATGTGATGTCTAATATTAAGTGTGAAAAATGAAACAAGACTCGTACCTAGGAACTGGCAGTGGAGGCAAATCATGCCATTCTTTTCTTTCAGTGTCCAACACAAAATTTCGAGCTGTAGGCCCCCTACACTGAGGGCCGTATTGTCCAGTTACTACGTAAATATATCTTCCATCTGTAACCATCCCCAGATGTGAATGTGCCATTTCCTTTGGCATATCAAACTTTCCTCCCCATGTATTATCCGAGAAATTGTAAATATCCACATGAGAATGCACCTATAAATGGAAAACATCAGAAGGTCTCAAGAGTTAACTTGTTGACAAACAGAAATAACTAATGATAGACCTCTGCTGTTCTGCAATAAAGAAAACAACATTACAAGGAACAACTGGAGAATTTTGCAGTGTGGCTTCATTAAATTAATTGAACTCAGCAATATGTATCGACTATCATAGCTATTTATAATGAGGTCATGCAACAACATTACATAGTACAACTACTTGAACTTAATTTCGGTAAGTAAGGGCACGCTTGAACTTTGGCATAATGCTCATTCATTTTATTCAGTTTAATTTGTTGAATCTATAGTGTACAGAGTACAGACTGACAAAGCTGCAACCATTCAGATACCAAAACTACAGCAATAGTGTGAAGTCCCCCCACCCCCTCCACAACTACAACATTTTATGTTAATTCAACTTTTAAGTAAAATATCCATCTTAAGCATTAACATGTGTATATATTATGCTTAAGCAAGTATCATCTTAGACAGTACAGAAAAATAGGCAAACCTAGTAAACTAGTAAAAGAACGGGCAAGTTTCCTCACATAGTTAATGGTGCCATATCCAGCAAACACAAATAAGAGATTCTTAATCTGTATAGCAGCACCGTCCAAACGTGGTACCGGTGCTTCAGCCATCTGCTCCCACTGCAATTCTGGTGCTCGCAAATCCGCAAAAGTGGCACTTATGTCCATGGAACCTGTAGATGCATTGCCCTTTGTTTGCTGTACAAGAGAAGTATATAACATAATTAGTTCTGAATGAAATCATTGTAGCAGACAGAATGATGATAATAAGCAAGCAAATCAACTTGAAATCCAAATTATACCATAGCAATCTAGTCACAACATAGGTCATGACAATTAACAAATCGATTTCTTAGGAGTTAGAAATTAATTTGCAACAAATTGCAAAACAAACAATGGCCTACCAGTGGATGTACATTGCCATTTCACCAGCAGTTCTATAAGATATTCAGTAAGAAAATTTATGACCACCACAGCCAAGCAACATGACCAACCAGAAATCAGTGTTCTGCAATTAGACACTCGAACATCTACATTGCCACAGGAAGCAAGCATAACCAACTTTAAAAGTTCACACCAAACAATCAAGCAAACGATGGATGCTCGAGTGAACTGCATTAGGTCGAGGGGAAGTTGCGAGTCAAGCACTTGAAGGCAGTAAGCCTAGAGGCAGGGCAGCAAATGAATTTCTACTCTGCCAATCGGAGAGTGCAGAGGTCAATATAATCGCACACCTCAATAGGAAAAAAATCTCCTACCAGATCTCAGTAATCGCACACCCCGACAATGCCAGAGCACAGAATAGTTGAAGGCAGTAGAGGGCAGACAGCAGCCCAATAATCATAAAAATCAGGTTGAGGGGCGTCACCTTATTCGCCGAGGGCGGCGGCGACGCCGTGGGGCGAGTGGAGATATCGACCCTCGAGGGCCAGATGGAGGGGGCAGCGGAGCGGGAGGAGGCCCAGAGGTAGTCGGCGACTAGGAAGAGTCCGAGGATGGCGACGACGGCGAGCGCCACGAGGTGCTTGGGCGGCAGCGCCTTCGCCGCCGGCCTCGCCATCGGTGGATCGCTAGAACCTACAGGCGGCGGCCGCGGCGGCGAGAGCAGCGTGTCGGTGACATCAGTGGTGAGCCGAGGAGTAGTAGCGATTCCGAGTTTAGATTCACGGCACGCGCAGAGAACAAAACGACATTTTCGTTAGAGCTCTTGGAATTTTTAGGGATTTTTTTGCAACTAAATTATTAAGAGCATCACCAACAGTTACCCTAAAAAACACCCCATAAATATGGTTTCACGAGGTGTCCATAAGATTGACAGGTGCGCTGCTTTTACAGCTCCCGTAAAAATCCTTCCTTAAAAATGGTATTTGGCGATGGCGCGGCAGTGCACAAAGGATCGCGATGGTCTTTGACGGGCCGGCGGGCGGGCAGCGCGACGGCAATGGTGGACCACGGCGACGAAACGGCGCGACACATTTCAAATGGAAGAGAACACGAACACAAAGGAGCTACCCACCCGAAACAAAAAAGGTATGTCGATTGATGATGAATTGCATGCTTATTGAGGCCAGAGAACAGGGCAGGATGCGCATCCGCGCAAGAAGGCGGAGGTGGTAGACGTGTTCGACTGTCGTTTGCGGGAGCAGGCAAAAGGCGATCTAGAGCAGGAGCTCCAAGACGAAGCGAGAGGAAGACCGGTGTGCGTTATGTATGACGTGTAGCCTAAAACAACGAACTTATAGGAAGATGCAATTGTCTTAAATACCGAACATCCTTCAAAACCGCATTCGGATATGGTTGGCCGCTGAACCAGCTGGCCTCTTATTATCGGGATCTCTGTCCAGATGGCCCTCTTCGACCACCAGGATGTCACCCGTCGAGCCTCGCGAGTGCATGGGCCTGGTTGGGGCGAGCGAAGCAGCCCGATAGGAGGCGATGAATGCTAGCAGGCGAACCCGACCTCATCCATCACGCGTCGTCGCGCCCCCCTAGTCGAATGGCCCTCTCTGACTACCCGACTGTTACGCGCTAAGATGCAAATCAGACGGCCTTGAGCACCTCAGGGAGCCAGCCACCCGAGGCCCGACACAACATACGGCGCTAAGGGCACTCTGCTCGCGGAGGCTCCCAAGAGGTGGGGTACTTCAACATTCTTTATAGGAGTAATGTGTGGATGTAACACCCCGTATGTAACCTACCATATTTGTATTCCAACTCTTGCCATTTCCGGCACTAAGTTATGATATTTTCTCGTTGTCGGGTTTTTGTCTTCGTGTTGCTTTTGTCGTTGTCATGCATCTCATATCATGTCATCATGTGCATCGCATTTGCATACGTGTTCGTCTCATGCATCCGAGCATTTTCCCCATTGTCCATTTTGCATTCCGGCGCTCCTATGTCCTTCGGTGTCCTTTTCTACCTCTTTTCGTGTGCGGATGTTAAACGTTTTCGGATTGGACCGAAATTTGCCAAGCGGCCTTGGTTTACTACCGGTAGACCGCCTGTCAAGTTTCATGTCATTTGTACTTCGTTTGTACTCCAACGATTAATCGAGGAACCGAAAATGCCTCATGTGTGTTGCAGCCCAACACCTCTCCAAAGTGGCCCAAAATCCACCTAAACCCCCTCCATCATCTCGGTCGTTCGATCACGATCGCGTGGCCGCAAACCGTGCTTAATTTGGAGCCTCCTAACTCCCTCTACCTATAAAAAGGCAACTCCCCCCCGAAAATTCCGGATCCCTAACCCTAGCCCCGCTCCCTCTCCGCCGCCGGACGAAAACCCGCCGACGGACATGTCCGCCGCCGCCGCGCGCCCACTCCTGCGCTGACACGTGTCAAGTGCAGCCGCCACCCGCCGCGGCCCTCCGAGCCCG